AAACACTTGTCAGAAAGTTGGTGGCCTTTGTTCCTGGCCTTTCCAGTCCTGCCGCTACTGTTAATGCTGCCCCAAACTTGATGTTGTACTGAGGAGTCTATTGTGAGCAGGATGCCCAAAAGGTATCTCACAGTATCACCCACTTTCTTCACCTTTCTTCTTTCTAATTTATTACTTTTGTCTAGTTGTCTTTTTTTTTTTTTGAAACCCCAGGTTGCCTTGCTCCTTGCTCTTCAGCTGCAAGAACCCAAGGAGGAATGACTAACATATATCACACATGTCCAGATCAGCCACTGAGGCAAGGTATGCTTTCGCTTGCTTTTTGAAACCAGAGTGCTTAAATGAGAGCTACTTGAAGACACTGGTTTCCATGTCCCCCCCTCCCTCCCCCTCGGCCTCACCAAATCCTGTTTAGCACCACAAATGCCACAGTTCACGTTCTACAGCATCTTTCAGGCAGCACATCTTCCAGAGCACCGTCTGCAGTCTGTGCAGAGAAGTGGTGCTGAGATGAAGAGTCACAAAAACAAAGTTCGCAAGGGGAAAGGTCTCCAGCAATATTACTCTCTGTCTTTGCTAATGGAAGGCACACCCACTTCCTCTGACTCTGATCAGAGGACAACTGGCTGTCAGGCGGTACAGATCTGCAGTTGAGAGAGGTCTTTGTGGTGCCCAGCCCTGCCTTGTAGACCATCTGCCGCTTGTGGAAACGTAAGACTTGCCAAAGAGGCTGATTCTGTATTTTCAGTATTCACTGCTCATTGGACAGGACAGTTCAGCATTACCTTGCCACTCCAGAGAGATCACACGAAGCTCCACCCGCAGCACTGCGTGTTTAAGCACTTGCAGAAACAATCAGTAAGCATGAAAGCTTAGAGGAAAAGTGTAGAGCTGATTGAAACCTCCTGGACATACTTTCAACACACTGGCGTTGGTTTTTTTTCCCTAAAGGCTGCCACTCACTTTGTTTTGGTTTTAACTCTTGCAGGTTAAGAAAAAACCCTGTGTGAAGTAGTAGCCATCAAAGTAACTGAACAATAAGAGCAGATTGCTTAGACACTATCGACTTTGCAGAGGCAAGTCCCCCTTCGGTTTTGTGCCATATTACTAAATAAATTACTCCAGAGAGAGCCAGTCTACCATGGCCAAAGTTCTCAGTTGACTTTTCTGCTTTCCTTCTGCTACCAGGGAATAGGGGCAGAGACATTAACACCAGCCACTTCATATACAGCACTCGGGTATGATTTGGGAACCTAAATTTAAGAATATCAATTCTCTCTGAAGAGGGCAGGCAGGTACCTAAGTTTGGGTGCCTAATTTAGAGGATGTGAATACTGCTTTCCCCTTCTCTCCTCCTTTTTCTTCTCGCTGATGTGCGAGTCCCCTTCTCTCCAGCAGTTAAAGGCCAGCTGAGTTTTAATGTCCAACTGAGCTGCCCATCCCCTCTTCATTTGTAGAGTCCAGAGTCTCTCAAACGAGGGAGAGAAGGGTAGGACATGCAGGTTCAACACTAAGAGTCACAGGACTGTTATCTCCTCCTACCCTCAACAGGTGCCTCATTTTAAACTACTCCCTGAGACTAACTAAATATAGGTGAATATGCTATGTGTTGTGTGGACACAGCCTCTGGGGCCACAGATGTGTCTCATGTATGTACCATGCTGCTTCCTTGCTCCCTGCATCGCTCTTCAAACACAGGGTAGATGTAACTTTCCAGCCCTGGGTTTAGAGAGCAGCATAGGCAGGTCAGTTATGCTGCTCTAGATCTACTAAGGCACCTTGTTGTTTTGATAGTCTTCAGTGAAATAAACCAAGCTCTCTTCTGCTTGTTTTCACGTAGAATTTTGCATTACTGTACATAAGAATAACGTGATTTGCAAACCTTACAAAGATGCAGGGTAATCCCTTTGAATACCTGCTAATTTGCAGGTTACATTATGACTTGGCCACTTTCCTGAAATAGTGTCTATCAAGCGAACCACTCAATCCCCTTTCTTCCTTCCAAAACCCCACAAAAACCAGCAAGCTTGGTCACAAAGAATGGAACAGCAGCAGTGATGGGCTCTGCGCTCATATTAGGGAGCGCAGTACTTGCAGACAGTATTTACAGGACTGTGAATGGAACTTGGGCGTGAAAACGGACACAGGAGCTTTTCCTCTGTCCAATTGGCCACCACAAAGACAGCTTTGAGTAACTTTGAATAATCTGACTTTCTCTGTATACGTGGTTTTATTAATGCTGTTCTTATTCCGAAGTCACTTTATGAAGCAGCTGATGGCTTCACCAAGCTCATGACCCTTCCGTAGAGCTGTTCAGAAATAGAGGCTTATGTCCCACCTACCCTAAGCCCCAGATCCATCATGGCCCTGCACACCTGCAGCTCACAAGTCAGTCAGTAACATTTAGCCTCTCTGAGATAAGGCTCAAACCCACCACTGAACTGAGTGTCAGCTGTTCTCTGCTCAGCTTTCGGAAGGAAAGCAGCAGTAAGGCCACAAGGAAACAATCTGCCTGCAAACATAACCAAAATGACAAGGGGGAAAAAAAAAAGTGAGCTGAGAAAGAGTAAAGTCTTATTAAAGGACAGATAGTTGTGGTAGAAATTAGCTTTAAGCTCATAAATGGGGTCTAGATTTACACATATCTAAGCAATTAAGCTGTTATGAGCACGTTTTGTATGAAAACTATATAGACGAACTTAATTTTTGGTACTTGAGTTGTGCTCTTTGCTCAATCAGTTAAGGCTGATACTACAAAAGATCCTTTTGAGATGAGTACACAGCCTTTCTCCTGCTCAGAAGTAATGGGTATATGCCTACTTTCTGCATTTATTTACATGTGTTTTACTCACATCTGAGGGAGATGAAATCATTAAAGGTAAGTGAAGAACATACCTTCAGGGCATTTCCCGCGTGTTACAGAAGTCTCCGTTCTGGCCTGGCGAAGGTGTTCACAGAAGAAGAAAGGTTATTCTGTACTTTAGGGGCAAGGAGTGAGTGAGCTTGCCACACAGCAGCCAAAGAGGGGATGCAGAACTCCTGGAAGCTTACTCTTCTGAGCTGCAAGGGCAGACTAAGAGCAGCTACAGTGAGTGCTGACAAAGAGGTCCGTGACCCTGAAACCTAGTCACTCTTACTACAAGATCATAGGTTTCCTACACAGTAAGTGCTGAAGACCAAGCCTAAAAATAACAAAAAAAAAAAATCACACCACTAAACTGACAGGAAGCGTAAAAACTTTCCAAACGAGAGCCATCAAACCTGATGAAACAGAGTCTCATTCTGGGTATGATGTACGTTCGTATTGTCATGTTGTAATCGTTCTGCCCCGAGGTAAGCGCACATGGAACAGAACGCTGGCTTCCTCAGAATCTACAGTGAAGTACTAGGTAAAAATAGAAACATATTTAACTTCCAGAATCAGAAGCAGATAGACACAAATTCAAGGTTTAAGTTTTCTTCGAAGTATCATACCCTTTACTCAGCCTTTTATAAGCTTATCTTCTGGTGAGGTCTTCTCCCTTCTTTGCATATGTATCAAGCAGAAAGTTGTCCATCATAATATAAACCCAATGTACCTTCTATCCAGCTTACATCATGCATTCTTATGAATTTGACACCAGACACGCTTGGATCACGATGGGTACTTGTTTCCCATTGTGCACTTAGAAAAACACATAGTTCTAACTCTGCATTAAAGGTTTTCCTCAGTCTGAACTGTTGCTTTTACAAGTTATGCTGAATACAGCTTCCCATTACAAGGAAAGCTAGGAAAAGTCAAACATCCCCTAAATGAACTCTACCACACAATGAAGCTTCCAGGGAGAAGCTGCAGGGGCTTCTGTCTGTTGGTGGCAATCAACATACTTACCCTAACTATCATGAAGGAACTACACAGCAATAAACTAATGAAGTGAAAAGTTCCCTTTTGGTGTCCAATTACAGAAACAAAACAAAGGAATAAACTCTGTTTTTTAAATGGAGTCACTATCATTGATTAGTGCTCCATGCACTGGGCCAATGCAAAACTGTCAGCAGCTGTGTTCTTAACACTCCAGCTAATACGTGTGGGGTTGGGTTTTTTCCTCTCTTCCCCATTTCCTGTAGAAAAGTTTTGGCTGAAAACTTCCAAAGCAAGAAAAAACCAAACCAAGCCGATTTCCTTTCTGCTGCTTTTAAATAGACAGTTTTCAGATGGTCCACGTTTTAACTAGGCTTCACGCGTATCCTGAACCACTGCTGTTCCAGTCGGTTTCTCCACAAGACTTCAAAATTCTTATTCATAGGAGAGAAATGAAAAAGCACAAGTGCAAGAAGAATTGCCCTTAATTTCATAAAAAAAAAAAAAAGTTCTAACAATTGAAAGTGTTCTTTGGTTCTCTGTGCCGCTATTTCACGTAGCAGGAGATGGAGAGGTCACCTTATTCTGTGGGCAACAAAGGAGTGAGATTAGTAATGTTAATACACTAATTACTTAAATACTATAATGCTACATTCATTGATTCAGTTGATTGTGATAAGCATAAATAAGGTATTTGCGCTTAAATTTTTCAGCCTACCCAGAATGCAAAATGTAATCTCAGTGTTATGTAAAAAATACGTAGCTTTTAGCTCAATTTTAGATCACAAAGACTGAACATAATTTCATTTTAATAATGAAAAACCCCGCTGAGACTTAGCCATTGAAGCCACAGAATTTTTTTTTAATAAATTGTATTGGAACTTGAGTAAAACTTCCTCCCAAAATTGCAGTGAACCAACTATATATAAGTGAACCATATATTCTTGGAAGATTAAAGTGATAAGTAAGCAGCTGGCATTTACTGTAAGTGACAAAACGATGACACTCATTTCCATACCATATATATTCCTTTACTTTAAAATGTACCGTACGCGTTTTCTACGCTGGCTGATACAATCTGTTGTTACTGTGCATACTTACAAAATACTGAAAATGAAAACCATTGTTATCTGGCTGAGTTTACTGACATGTGAAACAGCTAAAAACTGACTGACCATTCAAGTAGGCAGTCCTTCCTAAATATTCTCGTTAAACTTTCCAGGTCTTCATTTTTGAAATGCAGTTCTTCCAGCAATGTAGTTAGGAACTGCGTGTACACTGGGCTCGTCCGAGTGTTCTTGAAAAGTGGAGTAATTTGTGACAATCTGGAAAAAAAAAACCAACCAAAAACCCCAACATATTTGATGCAGAAAGTGACTTTTCAGCATCAGATGTAAAAAAAAAAAAAAAAAGGCAAAGCATGAGTTTGAACAACTGGACTGAAGAAAGGCAGCTTACAACATCACACTTGATTCGGTATGGTACGGCAGATTGTGTATGTTATACACAGTATATGACCTAACATACCAAAAGATGAATTTTTATTAAAATGTAGTGAAACTATAAGAAAGGATCTAATTAGAGAAAAACAGGCTAATAGTTTGTATGCCTCTAATCAGCTGTATGTGTATTTTTTGTCTACATTATGTGATGTCACATAATGTAGACAAAAAATTCAGAACAAACTGGAAAATATTATATAATTACATATAAAAAGGGGAAAGATATCAGATTTTACTTTTTTCTTTAGCAAAACACTCCTGAACATTCATACTGAAAACGCTGTATAGTTCTTTGAAGGAGTAAAATACGAAAAAGTTATAAAATGCTATCTTAAAGTAACCAAGAAGAGTATTTTGACTACATCTTATTAACCTGGCTCCTTGACAGAAGTCGTACTTAACTGGCAAGCCACACACTGCCAAACTCCATAAAGACATCTGAGAGGGTCACTTGGACGATTCCCCCCATCCTATGTGCCATAAACACAGTATGTCAAAAGAGCAAATGCGTTTTGCTTTAAGCTGAGATTTCTCCAAACACACAGAAGCCTCACATAGAGGAATTCTGGATCCTTTTATTTTTACTTGGTGCACATAAGACATCAGTTAAATTGCATCTCGGTTTGAGAATTTGAGTAAGTCATCAGACCAACCTGATTTCTTAGTTTTGCTGGTCTACACAGAGCAGTTTAAATTATTCTTCTTGCACACTGAGCAGTTTAAACAATACGCTTTAGGAAAGCAGGACAGAAGTAGAAGAAAGCTAAATGCATCTAGGTAAATTTTTATCCTGGATACTAAACTTCAGTTTTAAAGCCCATACTAGAGCAAAGATTGCCTGTCTCAAAGTGCCCGCAGTCTTATAGCACTTCAGAAAAATAACAGGCTCAAAGGTGGGGGTTGAGAGGGAGGAAATTCTGTTTCTGAACTCCGCTCAGAAAGTTCAGCTTTAAAATTCAAACAATACTCGGCCTTTCAAATTTTGCTATTTAGCAGCATTTTACAGAAAATTTTCCATTCGGGTCTGATTTTCAGAACTGCTGAGTATACGGAGTTCATCCAGCCTCCACTGATGTTAAAAATCACAGTGAATGGATTCAGCAAGTAGTGCCAACTAGGAGAATAAAATACACACATGAGAACGGACTGCGAATGGAAATGAATAGGGCATTAGCGCACACCCCCAAAGAGCATGTTATTCATCATCTGAAATCACGGAACCTGCAAGGGATGCGTTACTATATACTGCGTTTGGTTCCAGCATCGACAAGAACAGCTACGGAAGGTGTAACCTTCAATGGATCCAAACCCAAGCATGCACAGTACTGCTGGTAAAATGCACTCCTCAGCCGGGAAGGGGCCATCGCCACGCACATCACCGACACATACCGTATCTGTATGGAGAGGAGGTAGGACGTTGAGCTGTCAGTTTTCATTTGTGCTTTAATTTTATCTGAACCTATTATTACCCTGAAGTCCTTTCTTCCTTTCATAATTCCACTGCGAAGGTAGTAAAGCTGAATCTGTTTCCTAAGTACAAATATTTTCTAAACAATTTTTTATGAAGTATTAAAGCTCATGCTGAACATCAAGTAACTTCAACACCAAACACTATTGACAAGATTACCTAACAAAAACTCATACCCCACCAACAGTTACACCATCTCAAATACTACAGATACACCATGAAGGAGAGTTATTTTAGAATAGGTTTGTGAAATGATGTACTTCTAATACAAAACTCAAGGTTTCAGAACAGCTTCCTAAAAAATTCCTGGCTCAGAAAGCCTCTGAGAGAGTAACAACTGAGATCGATCCCCCTGCAGTCACTGGTAGGCAGACCATCGCCACTTGAGGAAAGCTGCACAGAAAAGGAGATTCTTTAAATTAAGCAAAAGTAGTGATAGAACAAAAGATCTTACAAAACATGGTAAATAGAGTCCCTAATACAGAAATAAATTTACAGAAAATTTTGATTAATAAATATTTGACTTTCAGTGAGTTAAATTAATTTCCATTTCTTTTTGGATTCCATTTTAATTTGCTCAGGGGAGACTTTATCGCCCTCTACAACTGCCTGAAAGGAGCCTTTAATGAGGGGAGTGCTGGTCTCTTCTCCCAAGTAGCAAGTGATAGGACAAGAGGAAACGGCCTCAAGTTGTGCCAGGGGAGGTTTAGATTGGATATGAGGTAAAATTTCTTCATGGAAAGGGTTGTCAGGCACTAGAACAGGCTGCCCAGGGAAGTGGTTGGGTCACCATCCCTGGAGGGATTTAAAAGATGATCTCAAAGGTCTTTTCCAACCTAAATGATTCTATGATTCAGCTAAATAATTCAACTAGCAAACACTGACACTTGGTTAAAAGGACTTTAAGAGGTGCTCAAAGTAAGGACCTGGTGTGGAAAGAAACAGATGTGCAAGAAAACTGCTATATAAACCCTCCCACAAAAGAGAAATGTTCACAGTTGGATTTTTGGAGTGAGGCCACTCAGTTTTGTGACGTGCTTCATGATAGACAGGACCGAGTTACTTCTTTCCTGGTGAGAAGTGTAGCATTTACCATTTAAACTGGAGTGCCTCTGCCCAGGGTTGACAGTCTGGAGGCTGATTTTTGCATCATGATGCTTTATCAGCAGGGAAGCAGAGGAAGTGCTGATAGCGGATCAGAGTGACCAGATTCAGAGTGTCAGTGTGGAGACAAGGATTGCGGGTGAAAGACCTGGAGATGCATTATTACTAGTCCCCAGTTCGCCCTTCTCAGGATTAAGCAGGTTATCTGTGAAGAAAGACTGGTGGTATAAACAGCCACGACTTCCTGCGTGCTGGTGCCAGGCGGCTGTAACATCGCAAAACGCCCTCTTGGCAATGTTGTAGATTTACATGCATTTTTAGCTAGATCTTCTTCTTCCTGCCTTGGACTCAAAAGAACATCAAAAACAGTATTTTTCAAAAATAGCAGAAAACTTGTGCAGTTTTAAGTAACATTCTAAAACTAAAATTTTTAAACCTTGCAGCTCACGTGCTAAGCAGTCTGTCTATACATAAAAAATTAATCTTTTGGAACTCAGTTTCATGAATTACAAACATGTCCTGACTATAAGACCCTGTTTAAGACACTTTGTTTAAAGAGCAGCTACTATAGCCCACACTAAGAAAGCAGAACGTATTGTTATTGTCAGAGAAACTGCAAAGCATCAGATGTTGAGAAATGAAGTTAAGAAAAGAAAATAGGTTTCAACTGTAGGTAATTTTTTTCCCCCCTTACATGAACTTTGTTTGAAAACTAATTAAACTACTAATTATCTGATAAGGAGGAGACTAAATCAGAAAGTAATTTCAGAGAGGGACGTGTTAAGTTTCTAGCAGTTAGTTTAAAATTGTGTCTAGATGGGACGACATGCCAAACATTTATGAATATATGTATAAACACTTAAATCTTGGAAAACTGTGTCCTGACATGTAAGTGACGCTTTAACTTGTCATTTGAAAAGCAGGTATTGTCAAGTACTTTTCTACCTTCAAGTGGCTGCTGGCACAGAAGCTGAAGCGTTTTTCTGCAAAAGGAGGAAGCCCAGGTTGCCAGTTCCAGGCTCGCAGTAACACCGGTCCAGTGTGTATTTGAGGTACTGCACAACAGCATTAAGGGCTGTGCTCTCATCCTTGAATAAAACGCTACTTGAATTAAACCATAATTGTATGCAAGTAAGCCTGGACAGCATTTGGAATTGGGATCTTCAAGTCACTGAAAACTGCGATGATCGTATCTCTGGAGGAATTATCATATCTAATTCAATTTAATGATACACAGGATTTCAGTTTGAGGATCACGGAATTGCGTGGAAACTCTGCAGCATCTTTGAAAGACATAATATAAACAGGAAATAAGATACTTGGGACCACGATAACAACTGGCTAGTGCAACAATGAAAAGAAAAATACTGATTCTGCTTTTCTGTCACTTTCACGTGTTGCACCATTAACGCAGAACAAACTTTTGTGAATGAAGTCAAATAAAAATAAGATTAAGTGATCTTAAACCAATCACCTAGAGAAGCACACCAACACAGAGGCTACTCGGCCAGGTTGTACACCCATGCTTCAAAGGCTTGCCTTCAGCACACCCATTAAAAGGAAACCTTCACGCTCAGTTCATGGAAAAGCAGCGCAGGGTACATCAGACTTCACGAAACAGTGTCGCTTCCTGCACACCCACTCACACCATATGGTAAACAGGTCTTTGTAAAGTTTAAAAAGTGTAAAAAATGCCAAACTGTATCTGATTGATAAAATTCATATTTGCTGGCTATTCCACAGATGTTACGTATGCAAGAGAAAAGTGAAATTCACGGGGAGACCAAGCCATTATTATCAAGCTATTAAATGACATCTGGTTACTGCAAAATGTTTACACAGTTTCAGTGCTTCCACTCAAGAGCCAAGCTTTCTATGATTTAGTTGCTGTATTTACAGGTATATTTAGGCATTTAACCTAACTTAACAGATTTTTACGAGTCAGTGATGTTACACAGAGCAGGTTTCATTCATTGATACGGCAGTGTGTGCAGGTCTATGCATACTTTAACTAACACAGCTGAATATATTCAGAAATTATGATTGCGGAGTAATATTTTTAGGCAGTACTAATTAGCACTTCCTGTCCAAAAGGTGTAAATATCCTTTCTAAAAACCCCCTAACTGTACAGTAGCATCCTCCCCTCCGATACCTGACCTCAGGAAAAGCTTTCTGGACTTTTTGTTTAAGGTAAATTCTGTGATCCTCTTTGAAAAAAAGTTAAGTTTTCAAAGCCACCACTGCCAGCTG